CTCAAGGACTGCATGTATGAGGAGATACAGAAGAACTGGCCAGGGTACTCTGAAGGAGACCAGCAGCTGCTGAAGAGGATTCTTGTCCGGTAAATACAGCTCATGTCAGCAGTGTAGCCTGTGCTCGCTGGGACTCTGAAGGTTTACACCTGCGATAGTTAATCAGAGATTTAGTTGTTCCCCAGGGCTTAAGAGGTGAGTTTCAGAAAATGTTACTCAAAGTAAATTTGAGTGAAATGTATCCTGAACAATTAAACCAGGTTTTCGAGCTTTTCTGGCTTTTCTGGAAGATGGTAGTTACTTTTCATGAAATCAACCAAACTAACCAGTCATAAAAAAGCCAGATTTTAACGCTACTCTATAATGAAAATCAGAGTGCTAGTCTGCACAGTAGGTAACTTCTGTGCTGTTCAGCTGTGCAATAAAGCCGCCTTTTGTGTCTGGGGTCCCTCTGGGTAGGGTCCGTGTCCTCCCAGGGTTCCCCAAACCTGTCGTTAAGAAGTTGCCCTCATGTCTCTTTCGGAGGCTGACTCTTTGATGGGTGACGCAAAACGCCCTGTGGAGAAAATACAAACAGGGTGCCGCAGGCAAACTCGGTGGCAGAGTTGTACAAGACGCTAAAGCTGTTTCCAGTGCAGGCAGGGTTGCGCCTAGCTGCACACTGATCATTCACACAGGCTAAAGGATCAGCTCACCTGCTGGTGTAATTTACACATTGGTCAAAGTATCAAATATCTTGCATGGATCTTGTGGCTGTAAGGTGCACAGTACAGTATGCGCGCCAAGCTGTAATACGTGGAGAGGAACTACATAAAGCACAGAAATAAACATTAATAATTGTTGAAATCTCGGCTGTATTAAAAACAAACCTCTCCTAAAGTCTGAGCCACTACTGAAACATCAGAAGACTTGAGCCAAATGTGCTCGCTGAAGCAAATGCATGTTTGTCTTTCCAGCTAAAGGGTTAAAAAAAAAAAGTGAAGCGTTGCTTCATCAGTCACAGCTGGCAGAAGTGCCTTGTGCAAGCTCAGATTTTATCGTGTGCATGTGTGGGGGAATCACTTCTGGTGGACACTGGCGCAGTTTTTAGATGTTAGGGGAAAGGACCAACATTTGGGTGTTTTTTTATTTGAAGTAGAAAAATACAAAACTCACTTAATGTTCGGTTATCCATATTTGCTGAAAAATTTCCTTCGTCTTAATTGTGACAAGACTGAAGTCATGCTTATTGGCACCCCCCATTAACTTCGTAAAGCCAATCCTGTAACCCTGTCTGTAGATGGGTCTGTACTTGAGCTTCAGTCTAAATTGGAAAAACCTTGGGGTGATATTCAATTCTGGCATTAACATATGTGCAGCATATTGTCAAAACATTTTTCTTTCACCTCGGAAATATCACTGGACTACGCCCTATGCTGTCACTAACTGTGGCTGAAAAGCTGATCAACACATTTGTGTTCTCTCGAATTGACTACTGTAATGCTCTGCTTGCTGGGGTTTCTAAATCTACATTGAACAAACTCCAGTGTGTCCGAACTTCAGCAGCCAGGATCCTGACCAGGTCTAGTGCAAGTGATCACATTACTCCTATCCTGGAGTCCTTGCACTGGCTTCCTATCAAATTCCATGTGGACGTTAAAATCCTCATGCTCACCTATAAGGCTCTGCATGGCTTGGCACCTCAGTACCTCTGAACTATTGTCGCCCTACTCTCTACCTTGCAACCTTCGCTCTTCTAATTCTGCTCTCCTAACTGTCCCCCCAAGTCCATCTACACTCTAGGGGTGACAGGGCCTTCTCCTGTTATGCCCCCATGCTCTGGAACTCTCTCCCCAAGGATATCAGAGAGTCACCTTCTCTAAACTCCTTCAAATCCAGACTCAAAACCTTCTTCTTTAGAAGAGCCTTTACTAAACTGGTTCCATTCTTCACCCCTCTGCTTTTCTTAGTACCACCATCCACGGTCTCCTCTGTATATTGTAATTGTGTTTAATTTTGTGTGTTCTTTTTGTCATTCTGTAAAGCGCTTTGAGAAGCCACCTTTAAAGGCGCTATATAAAATAGTTTATTATATCCTATTTTTATTACATATCCTGATCTCTGTAGAGCGCTGTAAGCTGATGCTCTGTGTAGGGCAGTTCCCCTCCTCTAGCGGTGAAGCAGTTTCTCACTCCCTTCACCTGCTCTGCTGTGCATTAGCTGCTGGTGATGACAGGCTGCCGTGAGCCTCCTGGGTGAGGGGCTGCACTTTAGGGAGAAGAGGGTGGCTTTCAATACAAACGGCACTAGAGAAATGCAAGCGATAATTAAGAATATTGCCATCCATGTCTTTTTTTTTTTTTTAGGCTGAAGGGGTGGAGGGGGTTTAAATTGTATTTTCTGCCAGTGACCATAGTCCTGTAGCATTTAAAAGCCCTGCACTGGAGATAAGCCCAATGTGTAAACAAGCCCTTTTGAGTTTGTTTTGGGTTTCATGCTGTTTCTAACTCTGAACTCCTAAAGTCAAGTGACATTTAAAGCGCTCTGTCCTTGCAGTGGTGTCCTCCTTGGACTCGGCTTGCACGGGTTATCACTGCAGCCCTCCGGCTGTGGTTAAAATTTAAACATTGTGTATTCAGGTAGCTACAGGGCAGTTAGAGGAAGCACATGGAGGGGGTGTGGGGTTTTAAACTCTGATTTCTCAGTATTGTAATTCACCCATTCCAAAATAAATGCGGTTTCTTTATTCCGTTGTCGCTTGCCCGGTGTTGACAGTTTTAGCTGGCTTTCGTCCAAGTAGAACTAGTGGAAAAAAACATTTTCCCATGAACCTAGGCATTGAGGGAGGCTTGCTGCTAAAATTAGACCGGCGCGGGGGATGTGTTCAGCTGGGTAAACGGTGACATCCTAAGATTTTGGTGGTTTATCGCGATGTTGTTTTTTTTTCGTAGTCTCGTGGTTTTCCAAATAAATATTGAGTTGTGCATGCTGATCTCGCCTGTACATTGCAACCGAGAGACGCGGAGGTCCTGTTTTTGTTGGTGAACCGGTGTGGGCCTCCACCGGAATCAAGCCCCTGTGGTCACAGGAGTTGAATGCAGCAAAATAATGCAGAAGCTGTGATGCAATTGCCCCCCCAGCACATGTTGAGCCATGTGTCAGCAGAACCTTGGGGTCGTGTTTCCAGACTTGGAGACCTCCACCAGGCCCTGCGCTGGCCAGGGCCTCCTTGCTGTGAAGGGCTGGGGAGGGAGGGGGGAGGCGAGACCCTGTTGGAGCTAGTTGCCCAATCCTCTTCCTGCACTACAGGGACCCCTGCTGGCTGGAATTTAATCCCCCCCCATGAATCGGACCATCGTTTTCCTTGAGCATGTGCGTTTTAATTCTTACATGACAAAAGTAGCTTCTAGTCAAAGTTGCTACCAGTAAAAATTCTTCAAATTGTTTGGGGGTAATACAGACCTCATGTAGACCAAACTGAGCTCTGCTCTAAAAGTGGAATGCCATATCTTGTTTATTTGTGGTTTGTAATGTGTAGTTGTCAATCGAACACGTGACTGATTTTGTGATCTTGCAGTGGGGTATTAACTAATCTGCTTCCTTATCGATGTCGACTTATTTTAGGGGTTTGAAAGAGCTTTGTGGCAGAGCAGAGCCTTATATTTTTAAAACGTGCAGTTGAGCTCTAGGCTGATTGGGACACAGAGCTGTGCTTTGCAATCTGTGCACCCAAGTGACCAAGAAAAGTCATCAGGGCCAGGCTGCCAGAGAGACAAGTTAATGCAGTTATTTGCGTTGCAGCAGTTCCAGAAGCAACCCAAGTGACATTTTCCTGTTCAGACCTTTCTGTGCTGGTCACCAGGGTCTGGAGTGAAATAAGACCTTGTTCTGCAGTATGCGTCTGTGCTCCAGATCTCGGCTGTGCTCCTATGTGCTTGACGTGAAAAATTGATAAAATGCGGAAGTGTCGGCTCATTGTGAAATATAATCCTTCAGTCACGTTATTTTTGCTGTGTTATGATGAGGTAGTAAAAGGCAAAGCATATTCTGACCTGTTTTTGTTCAGCAGATTTCAGGGCACCTTGTGAACAGTACAATTGTTTGAAACCATTTTTTCCCCAAAGCTTCAAAGACACAAATGGGCTTGGTTTGCTCGTGGACAGACTTCAAACACCAGTAAACCTTAGGCATTGTTTCAGATTTTGCTAGAGGTCTTCACTGGAGGTCTGTAGAAAACATTGCTAAATGTTTGGAAGTGTCCAGATGTCCATGCAGACGTAGAATTCTATTTGAGTTACAGATCTGTGCTTAAACTTCATAAAGTATTTAGGAATGGTGCCATTTTGACCAGGATTGAAGCATATTTACTGTGCTTAGGTGAGTAAGAGAGGTTGAAACTAAAAGCCATTGTTCTTTAATGGATTTCCCTGAGATTTAATTTAGCTGACTTTTTGCTTGCTCTAGCTGTAGTGCTCCACAGAACAAAGATTCCTTTCTACCTGATGAGTTTCTTAGCAGCTACACCTCCCGTCTGGGTTGCCTCTGACCGACGGGAGGTGTAGCTGAGCCGGCTCCTTACTGTGACTGTTGTTACTTTTTCAGGAAGCTGTGTCAGTCTCAGTCGCAGAACACGCTTGCAGTCCCTGGGGAGGGTCCTGCCAGCCCCCCCAAAGACCTCGCCAACTCTTCCCCATCCCAGGTGAGCCCTCTGAGCTGCACGAACCCCCACCTGCCCACCTTCTCCTTCCAGGCCTGAGACCATGCTGGGCCCTTACTCCTGTTTCCTGAGCTGAGTATCTACAAGACCACGATATGAAGCACGGATGAAATATTTAAATAGGACTGTTCATTGTAAATCAAGGCACACAAAATAGGCATGAAAACACACTTTCGTTTCACAGGATCTTTATGGTGCCTTGCTTATTTTGCTGTGCAGAAAAGACCAGGTGTTTTCTCGGTTTTCCAGTTACGTGCTTTTTGTTGCTGCATGACAGCTTTTAAAAAAGATGGTTCAGACTCGGTCACAACGCACAGTTCATCCCCAAGCAGCTCAGATGTTTCTGCTTTTAACCTCATTTTTGTAGCTGTAACGTCAATTGAAATATTTAGTTTTGAGGTACATATTACAGTGTACACTCCAGAAACAATCTCTGACATGGATTAGTGCTTGGTGCTCCAACCTCTTGGGACTCCGTGGTCCTTTTAAGACCCTTTGTAGACCCTGATCCACTCTCACGCATCACTCTATACAAGGCAGGGTGATGACGTAGTTTGAGTGACCTGAGCTTTCTTGAAACTTTGCCGGACAGCAGGTCTAGAACTGCAACTGCACCTGATAAAAACGAAGATGAAAGTAGTTTTCTCATCTTTCTGACTTCACTGCCGTGAGGGACTGTCGGGTACAGTCGGTTTGACTTCAGTGTTTGTTTTTTCTGCAACCCGATTATAATTTTGCTCTTTTGTAATTGTGCATATTACTATAGTGAGGCAAATAAGTCTTCCAGGTTCTTAGTAGACCAGTGTCTTAGTCTCTTGCCAAGCCTTGCGCAATCAGTGCCGTGTGTAGCTGTTGCATGTAGAAAAAAGACCGTTCTGGTGTCTGACTTTTTGCTGGTCCGATTGCCCCCTCCTAGAAACGGCCGGCTGTGGAGTTTATCGACCCCTTGGCCAACAAGAAGCCCCGGATATCCCACCTAGCCAGTAAATCCGCCAGCACCTTCAACGGAAAGCTTAACCCTTCCAACGGCAGGGAGAGCGCGACGGTGGCGCAGCCTGCCGCCGGGGACTCCGCGCCTCCCGCCGCTCCCACTGCCGCCTCCCACGTCCCCCTGCTGGACATCCCGCGGCCCTGCGACCCCCTCTCGGACGTCAGCAACGACTC